AAATCAAGCCCCATCTCTTCACCTGACCCGTAGCCCTATCTCTCTCTCTCTCCCTCTTTTTATCCTCCCTCTCAAAGTTCTGCTCCTCCCCCTTCTGTGACTTTGTAGCCAATCGGTGACAGGCTCCTTCACTCTGACAGAATTTCAGGGAGACTGCACCAGCAGACTCTGGCCTGGCTGTGCTGTCCGTCACACCTGTCCTTAAGTCGAGGGGTGTCTGGGTTCCTTGACAGTGTGTGGCCAGTTCCTTCTTGGAGCTCGGGGAGCTATCTAACCACCTAGGGTCTTTGTACTAATTTTAGCCAATGCATTCGAATGGAGAAGGGAGGGGAGCTTTGAGTTGAACAAATCCTTTAATTCCAGTATTTCTATTGTTCTACTGTCTCTTCCTAGAGGGTTTCCCAAAAAGGGACACTGGTGGCGCTGTGGTCTAAACCACAGAGCCTAGGACTTGCCGATTAGAAGGTCGGCGGTTCAAATCCCCACGATGGGGTGAGCTCCCGTTGCTCGGTCCCTGCTCCTGCCAACCTAGCAGTTTGAAAGCACGTCAAAGTGCAAGTAGATAAATAGGTACCACTCCAGCGGGAAGGTAAACGGCGTTTCCGTGCGCTGCTCTGGTTCGCCAGAAGCGGCTTAGTCATGCTGGCCACATGACCCGGAAGCTGTACGCCACCTCCTTCGGCCAATAAAGCGAGATGAGCGCCGCAACCCCAGAGTCGGCCACGACTGGACCTAATGGTCAGGGGTCCCTTTACCTTAGCGAGTTTCCTGCTTATTCCCCATTGTTGTTGAAGGCATGATGGTGGCGCCTGCCGGTGCTTCAGAAACTTCGGCTGCTGCAGAATCTGGCAGTCAGGTTGCTCACCGGAGCAAGACTGTGTGAGCATATTACACTGATCCTGGTCCAACCACACTGGAAACCAATTAGTTTCTGAGCCCAATTGAAAGTGCTGGTTTGGACCTATAAAGCCTTAACAGCTCAGGATCACAATACCTCAAATATTGCCCCAGGCTGGATATCACCCTCTAAGACACTTCTTAATGTGCCTCCTCCATGTGTGGAGGGTGACAAAACAAGACTGGGACTTTTCTACAGTGGCTCCGTTTGTGGAAAGCTCTCCACAGGGAGCTTTGGCTGGCACCTTCATTATGCGCCTTTAGGTCCTGAGCGAAAACATTCTTCTTCAACCAGGACTTTGGCTGAATAAAGGGCAGTAATAAATGAAATATACAAATGTCTGTAGTAATAAAAAACACATCTTTGTGGGGAGAAACTCTCCTGCACAAAACTGCTGCATTAAAAATAAAAATAAAATTTGCTATTGCATGTACAGAAAGTGGGGAAGGAGAAGGAAGGGACCAGCGGCCTTTTATGCGAGTGATTCCAAATCCTTGCATGACTTGCAGGCCACACAAATATTTTTTTTTAAAGTTGACTGCCCTTTGGGGCAAATCTGGTACATCACAAAACATGTATTTCACAAATTCGTTTTCCAAAATGGTGTGTTTCCGGGCTTAGAGCAGCACACATGATGTGGAAATTCATGAAGGAGTTCCTGACCAGAGATCCAAATAAAACCAGGTAACGGAATCAAAAAATATTTATTGTGCACACCGAGGATTTATTATCCGCTTCTCACAGGATTTTTTTCCCACGAACAAAAATATAGCTGGGACTGACCGCTGAGACCATATAACACCGGTCCTGAAAGACCTACATTGACTCCCACAATTCCAAGTGTTAGTGCTGACCTTTAAAGCCCTAAATGGCCTCAGCCCAGTATACCTGAAGGAGCGTCTCCACCCCCATCGGTCCTTCTCCAAAGGCCTTCTGGTGGTTCCCTCACTGCAAAAAGTGAGGATACAGGGAACCCTGCAGAGTGGCGCCCGTCCTATGGAACATCCTCCCTTCAGATGTCAAGGAAATAATAAATTGATGTTTTATTGTGTTTTTAATATTCTGTTGGAAGCCGCACAGAGTGTCTTGGGAGGCCCAGCCAGATGAGTGGGGTATAAGTAATAAATTTATTATTATTATTATTATTATTTGTACTACTACTACTATAGGATTCTGTGGCAGTAACCAATCAGCTTCTAACATGTTAAGGCATGAGAAATACTATTTTCTTGTTACTCACTTTTGCCTATACAGTCCATCTATCTGTACGTAACTGTTTCTGCAAAAGCCTACAAGCTGTATATGTTTATTGTTTGGACCATTATGGTCATATGACATATATACATAAATATGGCATTAAAATACAGTATCAGTCTATATTACACACACACACAAATAAGTTTTTAGATGTCATTCCCAATTAAATCTTTACAGTCCACCATGTTCTCCTCAATGAACATTGTCAATTTTTGGGCAGCAACTTTGTCACAGATTTCTCAAACAAGACAACAAATATGTGACTTTCAGTTGATCATCCGCATCAGGTATCTTACATAACAAATCAAGGATAACCTTGGTTCAGAATAGAGAGAGCATATTGGTAGAGGTCTACTACTTAGTTAAGGCATACACAAAGATGCTGTTCTGCGATAATTTTTTATAGCGTCCCTCTAAATATTCTGAGCACATAGTCTGAAAACAAAAGTCAGAAATGCTTGCCTAAATGAACAGATTGGTAAATCAGAGGGGAAATTCTCAAGTTCGTGTCTTATTTTAATTAAATACCAATGTGGGGCAGTGTTCAAAATTAGCCAGGCGCCAGACACAGTTTGCACCTGGCTACTGGCAACTTATCACTAGACAGATGGATATACATACTCCCAAAACTGTTTTACTGAGCCTGAACTTTTGCGACAGTAAAGTATTTGGTCCTTAAGCTGCTTCCTTGCTGTACTGGAAAAGCCCTCGTGCATGGATGAAGGTGAAGAATTGCACATCGTCAAGGAGTGAGCTACTAACTCCCTACTAGGAAACACTGGTCTGCGAGTGCTCCAATTGGAGAACAGCTTTTACCACTGTAACGGAAGCTCTTTCCACACATCAGCTTTCATAGGGTTAGTCTCCTGAATGAGTTATCCGGTGTCGAGAAAGGTGATTACTGCGGCGGTAGCTCTTTCCGCACTGCAAACGTTTATATGGTTTGTCCCCTGTGTGAATTCTCCTATGTGCATGAAGGGTGCTAGAGTCACTGAAGCTTTTTCTACATTCCAAGCATTTATACGGTTTGCCCCCTGTATGAGTTCTTTGATGCAAAGTAAGGAGGCTACCGAGACCAAACCTCTTTCCACACTCCAGGCGTTCATGCGGTTTGTTCCCTGTAAGAGGTGTCTGATGTCATTTAAGGTGAGAATTGCACTTGAAGCTTTCACCACACTCAATGCACTTATATGGCTTCTCCCCTGTGTGAATTCTATGGTGCATGTTAAGGGACCTGCTGTGACTGAAGCTCTTTCCACACTCCATGCATTTATAAAGTTTCTCCCCTGTGAGTTCTTTGATGTTTAGTAAAGGTACTATAGTCACTGAAGCTCTTTCCACACTCCATGCATTTATAAGGTTTTTCACCTGTATGAATTCGTCGATGCACATTAAGGGAGGCACTCTGATTGAAGCTCTTTCCACACTCCATGCATGTATATGGTTTTTCCCCTGTGTGAGTTCTTTGATGTTTAGTAAGGGTACTACTGTCAAAGAAACTCTTTCCACATTCCCAGCATTTATAAGGTTTCTCCCCTGTATGAGTTCTTTGATGCAAAGTAAGGTAGCCACTGGATCTGAAGCTCTTTCCACACTCCATGCATTCATAAGGTTTCTCCCCTGTATGAGTTCTTTGATGCACATAAGGTAGCCACTGTTTCTGAAGCTCTTTCCACACTCCATGCATTCATAAGGTTTCTCCCCTGTATGAGTTCTTTGATGCTCATTAAAGCAGGAACTCCAACTGAAAGTCTTTCCACACTTCATGCATTTATAAAGTTTCTCCCCTGTGAGTTCTTTGATGTTTAGTAAAGGTACTATAGTCACTGAAGCTCTTTCCACACTCCATGCATTTATAAGGTTTTTCACCTGTATGAAGTCGTCGATGCACATTAAGGGAGGCACTCTGATTGAAGCTCTTTCCCACACTCCATGCATTTATATGGTTTTTCCCCTGTGTGAGTTCTTTGATGTTTAGTAAGGGTACTACTGTCAAAGAAACTCTTTCCACATTCCCAGCATTTATAAGGTTTCTCCCCGGTATGAGTTCTTTGATGCACATTAAGGTGGCTTCTGCTTCTGAAGCTCTTTCCACACTCCATGCATTCATAAGGCTTCTCCCCTGTATGAGTTATCTGATGCACATTAAGGTGGCCACTGTTTCTGAATCTCTTTCCACACTCCATGCATTCATAAGGTTTCTCCCCTGTATGAGTTATTTGATGTCTAATAAGCATGCTTCTGGCACTGAAGCTCTTTCCACACTCCATGCATTCATATGGATTTATATGGTTTTCCTGTGTGTGAATTATATGATGCATTTTAACAGACTTGCTGCAACTGAAGCTCTTTCCACACTCCATGCCTTTATAAGGTTTCTCCCCTGTATGAGTTCTTCGATGCACATTAAGGTAGCTACTGCTTCTGAAGCTCTTTCCACACTCCATGCATTCATAAGGTTTCTCCCCTGTATGAGTTCTTTGATGCAAAGTAAGGGAGAAATTCTGACTGAAAGTCTTTCCACACTCCATGCATTCATAAGGTTTCTCCCCTGTATGAGTTCTTTGATGCACATTAAGGTAGCCACTGTTTCTGAAGCTCTTTCCACACTCCATGCATTCATAAGGTTTATCCCCTGTATGAGTTATCTGATGCACATTAAGGGAGGAACTCCGACTGAAGCTCTTTCCACACTCCATGCATTCATAAGGTTTCTCCCCTGTGTGAGTTCTTTGATGTTTAGTAAGGGTACTACTGTCAAAGAAACTCTTTCCACCATTCCCAGCATTTATAAGGTTTCTCCCCTGTATGAGTTCTTTGATGCAAAGTAAGGTAGCCACTGTAACTGAATCTCTTTCCACACTCCATGCATTCATAAGGTTTTTCACCTGAGTGTACGCTTTGATGTCTAGCAAGGGCTGAGCGACTACAGAATCTCTTTCCGCACACAGTACATTCATGTTTTTTCTCCACCCTGTTAATCTGATTTTCATCTTCTTGGGAAACACTGTGTTCATCCCTTGGCTTCACTGTTTCTCTCCCCTCTTGTTTGTTGGCTCCATCTTGAACCCCCAACTTCCTTTCCTTCTCTTGCTCCTCACCTCTTTCTGGCCAGACTTCTGATGGCTCCTCCTCATCCAGGACCCCCAAACATCTCCTGATGGAATAAAAATTTAAAATAAAGGTTGATACAGCTGCTTCCTTATCAAAACTCAAGGCCTGGCACTATGTTAAAGGCGTTTTACATAAAAACAAATGCTGTGATACCTGGTTTTAATAAAATATCACCATTTAATCAATGGTTATTTGTATCAGAAAAGTTCTGGTGAGCAGTCCCTAAGATTAACCAAGCCACAAATAACACAATTTAAACCAGCAGGCAATAACATCAACAGAGCCTGCCTGCCTATGGGCCTGTGTGAGGCGGCTGCCTCAGGTGTCACCCCCAAAGGGGCGTCACTGCTCAGCTTTGCTGCTAGTCTCCCCGGCCTCCAGGGCGAAGTGGGATGGGCAGCAAAGCTTTGTGAGTCCTCTCCCCTCCAGCCAAGTCCAGAAAAGGATCTTCCCCCAACAAGGGCATGTCCACAAGAGGGCAGACATTCCACCATTCAGCTTTGTCAGGATCTGAAAAGGCTCTTTGCCAGTGAATGGGGAGAGGCGTCTGCACCCCTTGGAGGTCTGGAGGGGTGAGGGGGGACCACCCCACCCAACTTGCAGGGGTATGCGCCTCATGGATTTTGAGCCCCCATTGTGGGGCAGAAGTGAGGCCATCCCTGAGCATTGATAATACAGCACTGCAACTCAGAGAAGCTTGAAAAGTCTAGATCTGCAGAGCTTGTTGAAAAACCAAAATGAATAATAACAATAGTAGCATTTATTTTATTTATATTCCAACCGTCTGGCTGGGTTTCCCAAGCCACTCTGGGTGGCTTGCAGCATATATAAAAATGCAATCAAACCTCAAATATTAAGAAACAGAATATTATATATATGCAACAAACAAACCAATACATCAATAGAAACCAATAACAATAACAAGATACTCAAGTATTCTACAAATTAGGATCCCCCACACAGAAGATTTTTAGTATGCTTTTTCCACCATTCTCCACGCTAGATTGCCACAATGCATTATAACTTCAGGCTGCTTTAGAAGACCGTTCAGAAACTACAGAGTGATGACCGGTGCAAGATGCTCTGAGCACATAAAACCTTTTCTGGGTTGCTGTCTTCAATTCAAGGTGCTGATTTTGACCTATGTAACTCAAGGACTGAAGGGATGCAGGTGGCGCTGTGGGTTAAACCACAGAGCCTAGGACTTTGCCGATCAGAAGGTTGGCGGTTCGAATCCCTGCGATGGGGGTGAGCTCCCGTTGCTCGGTCCCAGCTCCTGCCAACCTAGCAGTTCGAAAGCACGTCAAAAGTGCAAGTAGATAAATAGGTACCGCTCCGGCGGGAAGGTAAACGGCATTTCCATGCACTGCTCTGGTTCGCCAGAAGCGGCTTAGTCATGCTGGCCACATGACCCGGAAGCTGTACACCGGCTCCCTCAGCCAATAAAGCGAGATGAGTGCCGCAACCCCAGAGTCGGTCACGACTGGACCTAATGGCCAGGGGTCCCTTTACCTTTACCTCAAGGACTGCTTCTCATGAATCCACCTAGAGCCTGCACTCATCATCAGAGGTCCTTCTCACAGTGCCCTCTCCAACTGAGGTGCAAAGAGACGCAATACGGAATGCGTCTTTCAGTGCTGGCTCCGCACCTAAAGAATGCTGTCCGCCAGGGAGGCAACCCAGAAGCCATCACTCGCTAATTGTAGCAGAGAAGCAATAATATTTATTCTCAGCCAGGCTTCTGGCCTTTAACTTAAGAGAAAAACAAACACGGTGACCTCCTTTAGCGGAGCTGAAGGGAGGCACTCCGAGGAACCCATACCTATTATAACTATTAACGAAGGCGAAAAGGATCCTTACCCTGAGAGGCCACCATCTCATGAACCTCCACCATGACGTCCTTGTACAGAGCTCTCCGTAGGGCCCAGTTGTCGTCAGCGAAATGCAAGGACACTTGTCAAAGCTCACTGATCCCTGGAAGGACAGAACAATTCCCTTCCTTATAGACACTCCAAGGCAAGGTGTGGAAACCATCTCCCCTCAGCTCCCCCTCCGATGATAGATGGGGCAACTGGAGATTTTACCTTCAGTGTTTATTTGTTTTTTTAATAAGATGTGAAAATCTGGATAACTCAATTTAAGACTGGGGGAAATGAGTGTTTTGTCCCCACCCCATACTCCCTCCTTCCTCAAGTGTGTAAAGACCATACATGCTGCCCAAGAGGCAAAATGGGAAGTGGAGAGGGATAATTTTTTCAATGATGGCTTATGCATACTGGTTTCTAAATTGGTTTGTGGGTTTTAGTTGTGTTCTAGCTCCCATTGGATCACTGTGCCACTTGAGAGACCTTTTGAATTAGCTGTTTAGAAATCTTGAACATAAGATAAAATGACTACAGCTGCAGATGGCCAGTTATATCCCCAGGGGCCCACCTTTTTTAATGATATATGTTTAGTACGTACATTTTGCAGAGGAAAAGTTTTTTCTCATGGTTTAATTTGCAGTGGACCTATGGCCTTCGATACAATAAAATGCTAAAGAGTCTTAACTGAGGAGGATCCTCTCCTGCCATAGAGTCTGCAGCTCCTTCTGCACTCTATGGGGCGCTACCTTTGAAGGTGACCCGGAAACTAGATCAAAATCCAGAATGCAGCAGCTAGACTCGTAACTGGGAGCAGCAGCCAACTAAGACCTGAAAGACCTACATTAGCTCCCAGTATGTTTCCGAGCAAAATTCAAAGTGTTGGTGCTGACCTTTAAAGCCCTAAATGGCCTCAGCCTGTATACCTGAAGGAGCATCTCCACCCCATCGCTCAGTCCTGACACTGAGGCCCAGCTCCAAGGGGCCTTCTGGCGGTTCCCTCCCTGCGAGGTTACAGGGAACCAGGCAGAGGGCCTTCTTGGTAGTAGCACCCGCCCTGTGGAAAGCCCTCCCATCAGATGTCAAGGAAATAAACAACTATCTGACTTTAAGAAGACATCTGAGGGCAGCCCCGTTCAGGAAAGCTTTGAATGTTTGATCTTTTATAGTGCTTTTAATATTCTGTCGGGAGCTGCCAGAGTGGCTGGGGAAACGCAGCTAAATGGGCGGGGTATGAAGGAATAAAATAATAATTATTCCTCCTGCTCCTCCCTGGCTGGCAGGAGACTCTCCTGACTCCCTGTTTACTCCCTGCCATTCCTCCCCATTCCCTGCCCTGCGGCCTTTGCTGGGCGCTCCTTCTGCGTTCTCTGGACAGAGGAGCGGGAGAAAAGGCCGCAGGATGAGGCCAGAGGCCGGTCAAGGCCAGCGAGGAGCGTCGCTTCGGCCTCCCGCTTCCCCTCCCAGGAGAGGACGACCTTTCCCCGTCGCCCCTTAGTTCCCCCCAGGAGGGACGCGGCTCCCTCCCTCTCGCCCCCCAATTCCGCCCCTGGCTCGGCCCACTCCCCCCAGTTACCCGCCTCCAGGGAGGACAGCATCAACCCGGGGAAGCGGAACAGGAAGCGGAAGCGCCTCCTCTCTCGCCAGTCTTCCCTTCCGCTCTAGGAATAGAAGCTCTATCGCCGCAGTTAACCCTTGCGGAGCCGCGGGGTAGGAGCCTCTTGGCTGCTCCGGGCAGAGAGGGAGGAGGAGCGCCCGGCTGGTCTCCGGCTCTGAAGCAGGAAGGGGAAACCCGGCTGCAGGATCAGGCCAGCGGCGCCCCCAGGACAGAATCCCTCCTCCGCAGGTGCTCCAAGCAAGATCCGAGCTCAAGAGCAGCTTTATCCTCACCTTTAGTATTCTACTTATTTATATCCCGCCTTTCTCCCAGACCGAGAGCCAAGGCGGCTTACAAAGGGGTTGCCATGGTTATAAATTCTAAAGGCAGGCGGCATTAAGAGGCAAGGAACTGCAATTGTTTCAAAGATCCTGGTTGAAATCAGAATTAGGGGAAAAAAATTAAAGATGCACATATTTTGTGAAATCAGCTGAGAAGAGAGGTCCAGAGGCTGTAAAAGATGAGTGCTTTAAATATTTTCAAATGACAGAATACCTGACAGAATCTTGAGTTTGGATTGGCTATTTTGGATCCAACTGAGTCCTTTCCAAGTGTGCCTCTAAAATGGTGCATGCACACAGGGAAACAAACCTCCACGAGGGACCTTGGTTTCCCGGCTTAGAATAGCACACACGATGTGGAAATTCATGAAGGAGGTCCTGACCCGAGATCAAAATAAAACTAGGTAACGGCATAAATTTTTTTTTTATTGTGCACACAGGTAGGGCTTGTGTCACATGATTTTTTCCCCCACGCACCAAAATATAGTTGGGACTGGCCACTGAGACCACATAACACCTGTCCTGAAAGAACGTTACATTGGCTCCCACTACGTTTCCAAGCAACAATTCCAAGTGTTGGTGCTGACCTTTAAAGCCCAAATTGGCCTCAGCCCAGTATACCTGAAGGAGCGTCTCCACCCCCATCGTTCAGCCTGGACACTGAGGTCCAGCTCCGAGGGCCTCCTGCCGGTTCCCTCACTGCAAAAAGAGGATACAGGGAACCAGGCAGAGGGCCTTCTTGGTAGTAGCACCCGCCCTGTGGAACGGCCCTCCATAAGATGTCAAGGAAATAAACAAACTATCTGAATTTTAGAAGACAGCTGAAGGAGCCAAGTTTAAAGGAAGTTTTTTAAACGTTTGATGTTTTATCGTGCTTTTAATATTCTGTTGGGAGCCACCCAGAGTGGCTGGGGAGGCCCAGCCAGATGGGCGGTGTATAAATTATTATTATTGCTACACAAATGTCATAGCTCCTCTGGTGTTTGGGGGTATACAGCCAAATGCAGCATTTTGCGGCAGTAAACAATCAGCTTCTAACATGTTAAGGCATGAGAAATACTATTTTGTTGTTACTGACTTTTGCCTATACACTGCATCTATCTGAACGTAACTGTATCTGCAAAAGCCTACAAGCTGTACATGTTTATTGTTGACTGAACCATTATGGCCATATGCAATATATACATAAATACAGTGGTACCTCGGGTTACAGATGCTACAGGTTACAGACTCCGCTAACCCAGAAATAGTACCTCGGGTTAAGAACTTTGCTTCAGGATGAGAACAGAAATTGCGGCGCGCGGCAGCGGGAGGCCCCATTAGGTAAAGTGGTGCTTCAGGTTAAGAACAGTTTCAGATTAAGAACAGACCCCAAGAACGAATTAAGTTTTTAACCCGAGGTACCACTGTACAGCTTTAAAATACAGTATCAGCCTATATTACACACACACACACACACACACACACACACATACAAATAAGTTTTTAGATTTCATTCCCAATTAAATATTTACAGTCCACCATGTTTTCCTCAATGAACTTTCTCAGTCTGGGGGCAGCAACTGCAGATCTCACAACTTTGTCACAGATTTCTCAAACCAGACAACAAATATGTGACTTTCAGTAATAATCACAATAATTTATTATTTATACCCCACCCATCTGTGTGGGTTTCCCCAGCCACTCAGGGCGGCTTCCAACAAAATATTAAAATACAATAGTCCGTCAAACATTAAAAGCTTCCCTAAACAGGGCTGCCTTCAGATGTCTTCTATAAGTCTGGTAGTTGTTTTTCTCTTTGACATCTGGTGGGAGGGCATTCCACAGGACAGGTGCCACTACCGAGAAGGCCCTCTACCTGGTTCCCTGTAATTTGGCTTCTTGCAGCAAGGGAACTGCCAAAGGTCCTCAACGCTGGACCTCAGTGTCCAGGCAGAACGATGGGAGTGGAGACGCATGGGAGTGGAGACGCTCCTTCAGGTATACTGGGCTGAGGCCATTTAGGGCTTTAAAGGTCAGCACCAATACTTTGAATTGTGCTCCGAAACGTGCTGGGAGCCAATGTAGGTCTTTCAAGACTGGTGTTATGTGGTCTTCGCAGCCACTCCCAGTCACCGGTCTAGCTGCCGCATTCTGGATTAGCACCTCTGATGAGACAGTCTGCAGTCAAGTAAGGTCTCAGCCTGTGTACCAGATGAAGT